GGATGTGATTGCCTTTGGCTTTCTCTTGGCCAGGAGGCTGATTTTGTCCAACTGGACGGACCCACACACCCACAACATATAAGGATGGATATCTAAAAAAGTTAAATCTGGTCCTCTGGACATTCAAAAAAAACAAAACAAAGCAAAACAACAAAAAATGTAGAAACGTTTCGTCTCTCGTCCAAGAGACTTCCTCAGTCTGAGGTGCTGTATTCAGCTCAGTCTCTTAAATAGCACCTTCTCAGAGTGGATCAACCAGTTTGCTGCTGACAACCAGAACCAGCTGATCACATGCTCAAGAAGGACCATCAGCCTAACAATGGATCATTAGCACCTGATGGCTGTTTACTGTTCACAGAGGGCTGAGTGATACTAGCAATCACAGCATTGTAAGAGGGGGACAGTTGAACCTGGAGGCTCCACCCCTGTTTAATGATGGACGGTTTCTTTTCACAAAGATGGCCTCCTTTACTCCTCTCTCAAACCATCGTTCCTCTCTGTCCAGGATGTGAACATCTTCATCCCTGAAAGAGTGACCGCTGGCCTGGAGATGAGTGTAGACCGCAGAGTCCTGGCATGATGATGTTGATCTTCTGTGCTGGTCCATCCTTTTGGCCAGTGGCTGTTTTGTTTCCCTGATGTAAGACTGATCACCCTCCTGACACTGAACAACATACACAACATTACTCTGTTTGTGCCGGGGGACTGGATCTTTGGGATGAACCAGTCTTTAATGTATTTTGGGGTTTAAAAGCCACTGGGACGTTATGTTTAGAAAATAAACGTCTCAGTTTCTCTGATACTCCCTCAACATATGGAATGACCACTGGTCTGGGTCTGGGTTCCTCCTTTTCACCTGTTGGCTGACTGGAGTCCTGTTTGGGTTTCTTCTCTGCTTTCAGGAAGGCCCATTTAGGATATCCACATTGCTCTAGAGCCCGTCTTGTGTGGGATTTCTCCTTTTTTAGATTTTTCTACCTGGATTATTGAGCATGCATCAGGATAAGGATGGATAAGAAGAGGTGATGTACCATATCCATTTGGAAAAAATAAGACATACCCTGAAGGGTTCTGTAAAAAGATTCTGGGACGCATGACAGCCCTTTGTTTTATATATAGAGAACTTGTCAGCACCTGTTTTCATTTATTTTTGTTTATGTATGTGTGGCTGATCCGGTGAGGGAGGGACGGGGTGGGAGGGGCTTTTGTTTTTGTTCTGTCAATTTGTTCTGTGTGTTATTAAAAATTCAACAATCAATTAAAAGACCGTGTTTAACAAATGTCCAATTTCCCTCTATTAAGAAAAAAACTTTATTTTTCGTTCTTTACAAAACACTTGCTATATTTAGCAAAGATTTATGAATAATTCTCAGTAAAGGTTTGTGGTGCGTTGTACCAGGAAATGAAAATAGAAAGAGATTAATCACAGTCAAAGGTTTGTATTGTTCTTAATATTGCTCATTTAGAGATTTGTTTAATTGATTTTGATGTTAAACCTAAAAATTATATTTAAAAAAGTATCACTATTAAATTTGCAGAAGGTTTACATCTGCATCATCTTCTTAAGCTGGAGGGCCAAAATCAGCTCATTCTTAGATTGCATCGCTGACTGCATAAAATCACTCCAAGGCCCTCAGGCCACACTTTGGACACCCCTGTTATAAACTGTATAAGATATGGAACAATTATGTGAATATTGAGTTAGAAAACATTTTGGAAAGTTTAGACACCTGAAAAGTTGAATTTCTGTTGTGAAAAACGATAAAAATCATCAAACTTTTGATTGCGTAAACAATGTTAATGGTATAAAAATGCCAATTCAGTCATGTAGAGTCCAACTTTCTGTTTAAAACTTTGTTTGATGTTTGCCTGATGTAGAGCTTCAAACAGAGCTGGGTTTACGCACTTGTTTCAACTAAATCCAGTGTTTCCACTACCATTATCCAAGGAGGGAGCCCCACCCTGTCAACAGACCCTGTCAACAGACCCTGTCAACAGACCCTGTCAACAGACCCTGTCAACAGACCCTGTCAACAGACCCGAGCACCCCACCTACCAAATCCCCCATCCCCCACTCTGCTCTGCCACTGCTGGAAAGTGCATTATAAACAGTATAATGCACAATAATTTGAAGTTTCAGAGTGGATTTGCTTTGTGTTGCTTAATTCTTTTCTCTTCCTGTAGACGGACCATCAGTCAACGTCACTTCCAGGTTACTGCGCATGTCGGCCGCAGGAACCAACAGCGATCATGTGTTGTGCTGTACGTAGGCTGCACCAACCGTTTTGATAAAAACAATGAAACGTGCAGGTTTTACAGAGTTCCATCAACTCGCAGCCTTTCCAGGCCAACAGGAGACGTCTTTAATGTCAAGCCATGAGAAGAAGTGAACAATGTGCAGCGAGCACTTCACATGAGGTAACATCGCTGCTTATCCAGTCCCGCTCACAAAAATATGAACAAGTGATCACGCAGATACACGTGGCCTCGCTTACAGGATAACACATGTTAGTTCAGTGATGCCGAGTGGAGCTGCTAATCTTATGTTAATTTATTTATTTTTATTTAAAAATTCATTCATTTCAATAAAAACAAAATAACTATATAAAAAATATAATAAAATGAAAGGCAGCAGAAGAATAAATCTTATTTCTGTCCTTTTTTACTCAGAATATATTCAAACAAAAGTTATTTACAAAAAAAACAAAGTTAAATAAGAACAACATCAACTCAAACAACAGTTTGTAAAGATACACATTATACTTTTCCATATTCCTTCAGAAAACTAACTTTGAACATTTTATTAAATATGTACATAGATGTGTCAGTTTTAACATCGTCCTTCAGACCAGTCCTGTTCCCTGAATTATACTGGACCGCTCCGTCAAACTGGAACCAGACCAGCGCTTCACAAACACCTGTCACTTCAGATAATAAACCACTGTCCCTTTAACTAAATGTACTTTTATATTTGAAGGACGTGTGTTTTTGTGAGCCTTATACATAAACAGTCAAATATTATAATCAACCGTCATAGAACTTTAATATCTTCAGATGATAAAACACTGTATTTAATGGATGCTATAATATTTTCTAGTGATAATATTTGCAGCTCTTTTCTGTAAAATAAAAATAGCTTTTAATTGTTTTACATGTTTTACCCCAGACTTCAGTACAGTAAATTAAGTGTGGGACAGTAACTGCATTATACAACATAAACAGTGTTTTATCACCGAGTAACTCGCTCACTTTGTACCGTACTGCAATAGATTTAGATATTTTAGTTCTTAAATTATTTATGTGAGGTTTCCATGTCAGTATTTCATCGATGATGACGCCCAGAGACTTGTTACTGTTTAAAGTTAAATGCTAACACATGCTATGGCAGTTAGCGCTGGCCAACCGTGCGCTGTTTTCATTAACGTCAGTCACTGGAATACACTTCATTTGTTCAGGAGTGGCCTCTGAAGACATGGACAGTCCTGACTTTGTCCCGTCCATCTTCTCCTACTTTACAAAGTCCAGCAAAGACAGTGATGGAAAACTGGAGCGGTAAATGGAAGAACACTGACTTGAACTGAGGCTGTAACAAACCTGTGTTTAACAAAGTAAAGTGATATTTTCCTGCTGCACCTAATGATTGTTCTCTTCTGTGTCTCAGCTACAAGAGACAAAGACGAAGGGACAAACCCCAGCACATGTCCAAACAATGGACCGTACTGTCCATCGTCATGAAACTGAGTTTAGGGCTCAGCAGTGAGGATAAGACGTTCAGATGTAATGTTGCTGAATGTGACATGTCCAGCATGTTCAGAAGTTTCTCCTGTTCTGTGTCAGACTGTGAAACCTCTAATCCATCCGAGGACAGAGAGACTGTGTGTGCTGCGTTAAACTTTTGGCATGTATAGTCCCGAGAAAATAAACTGTAAATATGTTGTTCAAGAGTTCAGGATACATCAAACTTCTTATTTCTTGTTTGTACATAAGTGATGTCATTAAAAAGTGAAAACAGAATAACCTTTTGTTTTTTAAACGTGCACACGGTGATTTGAAGGAAAAGTTCAAGCTGAATGTGAACAGGAAACGTTACAATAAATGATTTGTTTCAAAGTGGATTGTTTTTATCTTCTTTTACAACGTTGGTTTGTATGAAGAACTGATCATGTATGTGGAGGACTGTGTTCGTCATGTGATCGTCTCTGGCTGCACCAGTGAGTCCTGCTGGTCCACACGACTCTGTGAAGCTGAACTTTAATAGTATTCATGGTTCCTCTTGAGATGTAACGAGCAGCAACTATTCACCTTTTCAACATCATGTAATAAAATGTATCAAATAAAAACAACGTGCACAGAGGCGGGTCTGACCGTTTTCAATGCTTCTCAAAGATTTCTCAGTAAAACGAGGCACATAATCCGTCACGGTTCTAACTTTCATTTTAATCCACAGCTGGTAATACATAAATATAAAACCTCAAATAAGCAACAAATAAACCTGGTCTTGTGTGGGGGTTTTCTTAGTTTCCTTTTTTTAATAAAACTTGTCTTGTTCACTTTAGCCTGACAAATAAGAGTCAGCCACCAAGACATGGAGTGAATTTATAGTTTTTAATTCCAGTAAATGTGTCAGAAGAGCTGTGAAGATGGACGCCTCTGTGCGCCCTCTCCATGAAGGGGAACAGAATTTCACATGACACTGGCTCTCTGCACTACGGCTGCGTGCACGTCCGCCGTGTTGAGCAACAAATAATCCGTCTATACCATCAATTAAACAACAAAATGTTTTAATGTGGAAAATCTATAATAAACAAACTGAATTTCATTAAGAATGATCCACATCAAGTGAGTTGTCACTTTAGACAAATTCATATTTCAAACTACCATGACTGCCTTTTTATTTTATTTTATTTTCAACCTATTTTCAGGTCAATGACCAGAATGTATTTCTAAATACTCTCCGTTTATGATTATGAGAAACAACTTGATCTCTCTGACGATCTTACCTCTGGAAGGTTGGCACAATTGGACTTGACTTCATATTCAATGTAGGCTGCCTCTGCCGCTCCCTCTTTACCCATCTGGGTGTAGCACAGGTCTCTGGTGAAATCGATCCTCCGGTCCACATCCTCAAGGTAAAACATGCAAAGAGAAGAGTCCTCACTGGGTCGGGACGATGAAGCCAGGTGAGTGGAGAAGACTCCAAGAAGAATCTCAGAGTCTGGACTCTCAGTACCATCCTTGGAGAACCCTAGCTGGAGAGCTTGCAGGAGGTTGTAGGTTTTACCCGCCGTGGAACGACAAGTTAGCGGTACTTCCACATACGAGTAATAGGCCTGGTCATCCAAACATACACGTGAGATGTAGGTACGGTACTCCCTTGACTGTGACTTCAGGTCACGTCTGTAGAAGAGGAAGTACACATGGCGACGATGGGCGAATGCATCCACAAAATGATGGTCATATTCAGAGAGACGGCCTGCAACGGCTAACTTTGCAGTCTCCTCGTAGGAAAAGATGGGCTCCTGGCCAAGGTTTCTTGTGGAAATAGGTGGGTGGCTGTTTGTGTAACCACGACCTACAAACAGCATTGGTTGTCTGTCAGGATGAGACCGAACCACGAGTCCAACTGTACTAACATTGGGGTGGTTGGCTGCCACGTACTGGGTATCCACTGGCCTCTCAGTGGAGAAACGTACTATATTAATGGAATTCAGGTCACGCTTCTGGCAGATGCCCTGGTTAACACTCCCACAGGTAATAAGTTCCTCAGCATATGGATTAACCAGAAGGAGCTTGTTGTGGTTGTTAGTCTCCCTTGCTTGGGGGCAGTTGCTCTCTGTTACAGGTGGCAAACAGTCCTGGCTGTCTGTGACAGGCCCAGTGTGCTCCTGAAGCTTAGGTTGGAGTGATGGATATAACTGGAACAGATGATCTCGAGCTCCAACATAGACCCAACCCACAGCAGGGTCAGGATGCAGGGCAAGGTGCTCAAATACTGTGTCATTCCTTAAAAAGGTGGGGTAAAGGTCAGAGTGAGATGCTTCTAATCCTCGGACAGCACCCCTGAGTAATGTAATAAAAGGCCAGCCAGCAATTACAAGCAGGAGACTTAGCAGAGTTTGAGCCATTAACCTTGAAAGATGGTGCAATGTCTCGGGAGGCATGACAGCAGGGCTGGGGAAAAAGAAGACGGTTGTAAATGTTAGAAAGGTGTTCTGCATTCACTTCAGTAAGCTTTTTAAACACAAGTTCATTACAGGCCACAAGAGCCAAACATGAGTACTGTAGTTACTTGCTCATGGTAACATGGTACCAATAGGCCCACAGGATGCAAGGACCCATTACCAAGTGGATCTACTGCCCCTTTTGCACCACTCCTACTCAGCCCCAACTCTACTCAGCCCGGCTCAGATCAGCCTGGACTTCCACCGCACTTCAGGACCGGTTCTGGAGGCGTGTCCAGAATCCAAAGTCCTGCTAATGAACTTTTAATGAGCTTTATTTCACCATTAAGAGTGAGAGATCTGTGATGAGTTAAACTCAAAGCTTCTCCTCAGATAAATAATATTAAATTATTATTTTATATATAAATATTTCTGTTCAGTCCCTGAGACGACTTCTGTCGTGACTTGGAGCTTTAGAAATAAACTGAATTAAATCTGAGCAACCAGATTCTACAAAAACATCTAAAGAAAAAAATATATATATATTTAAAATATATGTTTCTTCATCATTTCGTGTTCATCATTGTGTCGACTTTTATTGTTCAATTTAAATATGTGGTTTAGTTTCTTATATACAGATTTTATTTCAGCTTTGATTTAAAGTGTAATTCTTGTTGAGTGATTTGTACATGTGTGTTAGAATAATGTTGAACCAAAGGATGTGTCTCTTCTTTAAACACGGTGGAGGGAAATATTCCTGAGATCCAATTTTGTCTTTTTATGATTTTTCAGCTGCGTTAACTTTAATTAACAGATTATTTAATGAAGTCAAAGTGAAAACAGGGTTTCATGATAAAGCCGACACATTTATTTATTTTTAATCTTCACTGATAAAAAAAAGTATTTTTTATACAAACCTTATTCCAAAAAAGTTGTGACACTAAACAAATTGTGAATAAAAACTGAATGCAATGATGTGGAGGTGCCAACATCTAATATTTTATTCAGAATAGAACACAAATCACAGATCAAAAGTTTAAACTGAGAGAATGTTTCATTTTAAGGAAAAATCTGTTGTTTCCAAATTTCATGGCGTCAACAAATCCCAAAAAAGTTGGGACAAGTCCAATTTTACCACTGTGTGGCATCCCCCCTTCTTCTTACAACACTCAACAGACGTCTGGGGACAGAGGAGACCAGTTTCTCCAGTTTAGAAATAGGAATGCTCTCCCATTCATGCTAATACAGGCCTCTAACTGTTCAATCGTCTTGGGCCTTCTTTGTGGCACCTTCCTCTTTATGATGCGCCAAATGTTCTCTATAGGTGAAAGATCTGGACTGCAGGCTGGCCATTTCAGTACCCGGATCCTTCTCCTACGTAGCCATGATGTTGTGATTGCTGCAGAATGTGGTCTGGCATTATCGTGTTGAAAAATGCAGGGTCTTCCCTGAAAGAGATGACGTCTAGATGGGAGCATATGTTGTTCTAGAACCTGAACATAGTTCTCTGCATTAATGGTGCCTTTCCAGACATGCAAGCTGCCCATGCCACAAGCGCTCATGCAACCCCATACCATCAGTGATGCAGGCTTCTGAACGGAGCGTTGATAACAACTTGGGCAATCCTTGTCCTCTCTGGTCCGGATGACATGGCGTCCCAGTGTTCCATAAAGAACTTCAAATCGTGACTCATCTGACCACAGAACAGTCTTCCATTTTGCCACACTCCATTGTAAATGACCCCTGGCCCAGTGCAAACGTCTGAGCTTGTGGAGCTTGCTTAGAAATGGCTTCCTCTTTGCACAGTAGAGTTTCAGCTGGCAACGGCAGATGGCACGGTGGATTGTGTTCACTGACTATGCTTTCTGGAAGTATTCCTGAGCCCATTCTGTTATTTCCTTGACAGTGGCATTCCTGTTTGAGGTGCAGTGACGTTTAAGGGCCCCGAGATCACGAGCATCCAGTAGAGTTTTACGGCCTTGACCCTTACTCACAGCGATTGTTCCAGATTCTCTGAATCTTTTGATGATGTTATGCACGGTTGATGATGATGAGAACTTAAAAGTCTTTGCTATTTTACGCTGGGTAACACCATTCTGGTATTGCTGCGCTATCTTTCTGCGCAACAATGGTGGAATTGGTGATCCTCTTACCATCTTGGCTTCTGAGAGACACTGACACTCTGAGAAGCTCTTTTTATACCAATCATGTTGTCATTTGACCTAATTAGTGTTAATTGGTCTTCCAGCTGTTCGTTATATGCTCAATTTCCTTTTTCCAGCCACTTATTGCTACTTGTCCCAACTTTGCTGGGATTTGTTGACACTGTGAAATTTTGAATAAACATATTTTTCCTTTAAATGTTACATTTACTCAGATTAAACTTTTGATCTGTCATCTATGTTATATTACGAATAAAATATTGACATTTGCCATCTCCACATCATTGCATTCAGTTTTTATTCACAATTTGTTTAGTGTCACAACCTTTTTGGAATCCGGTTTGTACATAAAATGTATAAAAAGAAAACGTTTCCACCCTCCGTCCCTCCATCCCGGTCCTCCCGCCTGCCGGGGCTCGGGGTCCAGCCTCACCTGCTTCAACAGGTCGGCAGCTCGTATGATCCTCCGCGGTGACTCCACTGACTCGAATTTTGTCGTCGGTCACCAAACACAAAAAACGCCTGGACTTCATCATTAAACACGGCGTTGTCATTATTGTTTTTAAAATCTTGAAAATAGATCCAGCTGCTGCTCCGAGTTCAGAGAAATTGCAAATGGTGGATCAGTGAAAAGTTTCTGAGATCCAGTGACTCCTCCCCCTGACCAATCAGTGACCTGCATTCACGTTTGGGTCCGGAGTCAGCTTCACTCAGCTTGACCGGTCCCAGCAGAGAAGCAGGAACAAAAAAAGGTCCCGAATCAACCTCACATCAGCTCAAAAGTACTGGTGGAATAGGGATCTGTCCGTGGCGAGCTGAGCAGAGTTGGGGCTGGGTAGAAGTGGTACAAATGGGGCATATGGGGCTTGGTCTCTACAACTGGGAGCAGTCTTGTTCATGTTCTGCAGTTAGAGTTTTACTGAGAGGAATGGCCCATTACATATTTAAAACTGTATTATTATAAGAAGGCGTGGCAGATATACTCATGCAAGCTAAGATACTGTCCAGCGTACAGTACTCTGACACCCCCAATGCACAGTTAACTTATTAATAGTCCACCACACCCAACGTTCATCTTGTTGGTAAATAAATGACTCATGATGCAATGGCCACCCATGAAAACTTGATGGACCCCCAGTGATTCCCCTTTGCCAGACAGTCGTCCTAATTTTCAAGCTTTGGTTTGGTATGCATTTTGAATTTCCCCTTGCAGTATGGTTTTAGAACCTCATCAACAACAATAAACTTTTTGAACAATTATTACTTAAAAACAAACGTTAAAATAATCTCCCTGAATAAGGACATCTGTTCTTAGCTGAACAGAATAAACTAGAAAGTTTGTGGAGAAACTTGATGGGGACTGACACGTTGCAACCATTTTTGACATTTTGATTTGACAGTACTGGTTGGGGTTCGCTCTCATCTACCAGTACACACCATTTCAGCTCAATCTGGCAAAAATTCAATGAGTTATAGTCATTTTTCCTTTTTAGCCTAGGTGGCCATCTTGAATTTTTGATTTGCAGTCAGAATCTATTAGGGATTGTTCTCAGCTACCAATACACCAAATTTCAGTTCAATAGCTCTAAAAACCTCAGAGTTATATCAATTTGAAAATAGCTTAGTATCTATTTTTTCCCTTTTAGGTAATGCAGCCATCTTGGATTTTTAATTTGCATCAGAAATGTATAGCAACTCACTCTCAGCTACAACCACACCAAATGTCAGCTCAATATCTCAAAGAATGACTGAGTTATAGTGAATTTTGAGTTTTCTGAGTTAGCTGTGGCAGCCATCTTGAACCAAAATGGCTCCAAAAGTTAATCAGTGTTTTGTTCAGAGACCTCTTCACTCTAGGTCATGTGACCTCACTGTGGCAGCTAGAAGCTGTTGAGCTCCATCAGTGTTTTTAATGAGAAAAGTTTGAAAATTACATCGCCATGGTAACTCGAAATGTCAACAAAAATAATCACACACATCACGGTGCCGAGCCGATCGTTTCGATGTAAGGGGGACATTGTGGTTCGGGTTGCATTAAATTTGATAGAAGAGCAAGACCCTTTTCAGGTGGATAATAATAGATGGCTGCCTTCAGGCAGTCCCCAAATACTGAGGTGTAGGAAACCAGTGTCTTCCTGAGATGCAGGGTCTCAGGAGGTAATATCAGAATGTTATTTTATACATTTTAATTTAGGCAAGAACAAGCTCCAATAAGTAGTGACTGAAGCTGATTGACATGTTTTTCAAATAACACATATGATCAATAAAACTCCTGAAGTTCTGTGCTGGCTTTTGGTTTTGGTGTGCCACACCGAGACTAACAGCGGCTCCATCTTGCAATAGCACTCAGCTCTTAAATGAATTCCATCGAAACATAAAGACGACAACTTAAAGTGAGTTAAAGCGTTCTGCGAAAGGTGCTAGGGATTTCTGTAGGTCTGATGCAGTGTTGCTGGTCTGAGAAGTTTTTAAATGGTCTATGATCATATCATATGATTGATATTTAACAGGTTAACCATGTAAGAACCATCAATGGTACAACTTAATTGTCTTGATATTTAAAAAAATGATTAAAAATAATATTTGAGCCACTAAAACAGTATCAGGACTTGTAGAGATCAATAAAACTGTTTGACTCCTTACCATTTGTTTTCAGCAGTGCTTCACAGAGGTGTGTGACCTCTTGACCTCCCAGCAGCTGGAGTTAACAACAAATCCCTCTGGATATCACCTGCAGCACAAAGAAAAGAGCAAATGACTTTGAGCTCCCAGATCTTTGACAGCCCATGGCATTTATATTCTCAAAGGGAGAAATGACATGGACTGATGGTTCAAACCCAATGTATAATATAAACTCGTCAGAAATGCTTTCACAGCTTTGAAAAAAAACCAACCTCTCCTTAGTTCTGGTGTTGCTACCTTATTTTCCTGAGAACTAAAAGAGCATGGTTTGGGAACTTGGAAGAGGATAAACATTTATCTGTTTTGATGTGTAAACCTGTGTTTCATGTTCACTTGGTGAATCCCCATGAAATGTCTTTTTTTAATTACATATTTGGTATAGCCTACTCGTAACCCTCCACCATCTCCTCTAAACACTTCCTCTGCTTTTCAGCATTCCATCTCCAGGTAGATTATCTCTGACGAGTTCAGGCAGATCCCCTGTGAGCTCAAGCGACGGGGAGCTGATAAAATAGTTGGAAAAAGTCTGAAAGAGACACTATTCATTCCAACAGAGCTGACTCCCTCAGTCTGCATACACACACCTCCCTGCCACCCAGAGAGGATTAGAAAGCCTGCTTTGTTGGTGCCAGTCTTCTAAATGTGGGAATGAGGGTAACAGGTTGGCAACAGGCCAAAGACACCCACTCCACCACTTATCCCCCCCAAATAACTGAAATCTGAAACACATATGTACCTCCAGTCTCAGAGCAAGCAGAAGCAGATGAACATTGCATTCCTAAAAGAGAACCTGAACAAGGAGAGGTCCTTTGATCGTTCTGATGGAACAGGAAGTATTAACGTCTTTGGTAAATACTGCTGCTCACAGATGAGTTGTGCTTTGATACTGAAAGTGTTCAAGCTAACAAAGAACGCAAAGCATGACCGGCATGGTAAAGGCTCCAGTATACTTGCGCAGACCTTTTTCCGTGCGGATTTGATGTGCACTGTCCGCAGAGGGTTGAGACTTCATACTTGAGTTTCCACCCTGAGCGGCTGCAGACCAGCTCTGCAGGCAAGGGGCATTTACCTTAGGGACAAATTGAGGTCGCCGAATGGTCATTTGCTGACGTCTACTGGATTGATTGACAGGTCGCCAAAAAAAAAAAAAACGAGAGCTGGCAGCCCCAGCCGCAGCAGTGTTCTGTGTTTATATGTTGTTAATAAAAAGTTCTAAAAAAAAAATAAAGAAAAACAGGGAGCGCTGGCCCTGCAGCCCACACATCAGACCAGCCCACCAGGAAATCTCAAGACCCTCCCACAGCCACGCTGGAACTGATTTTAATTTGCTCGTGACAAATTCCTTAATTTCTCACAATTTCAGTCATTGTGCCAATGGAGGAGGAAGAGATCACTTGCCTTTTGGCAAAAAACAAAAAACAAAAGAAAAGACCATTAAACCAGATCAGGGATGAAGAAGGGGAATTTAATACATTGGTGTCACATACAAAACAGTCCGTCGCTGGGCAGTTTATTGTGTGACACCGAGTACGCGTACGGGGTCGTGAAAATTGAGCTTTGCACAGACATGCCCTGTGGGCATCCGTTTCGACTATAATCCGATACGCGTGGACCTCTGCAGACTGATGTATGCCCGAGTATACTGGACGCTTAAGTCATACAAAGTTTCTGCTCGATCATCCAGCCAACTGGGTTGCATTGTAAGTTACACTGTTGAGACTGACTGAAGTGGATTCAGAAATGTTTTCAGAAAAACTTCAAACCTTCCAGACTGTTCAACCTGAAATCCTCGGGACATTTAGGATACATTCTCATCTATCTTTATACACAATCTGTTTAAAACTGCACAACAAATAAGCAAAATGTCCAGAAAACAAGTATTTCCCACACTGTACCAATCTCAAACAGAACAGGTTTTCCACTTCTGTACAGAATAACTCAATCAGGCTCTGCTTCATTCACAGTTTCAGACACATGAGAACCAAAGAATGGACTTTTGATTCAATTCAATTCCCTTTTTTGGTCCGTTTGATTTTTCTTGTTCGAGGCAGCACAGAGTGACAGATCCTGGAGAGCGGAGGGAGCCATTTTATTCACCACCAGGAGCAGTGGAGGTACGGAACTTTTCTTACACCTAGATGTATCCACACATCAAAGTTTAAGTCAGTATAATTTTTCAAGTTATGCTCACAACATGAATGGACGGAGGGTATTTCTAATTACCTCTCTTTGCTTTGCCACAGATGATGGTTGCTACTAGGGGTGTAACGGTACGCTCAAATCACATTTCGGTTCGGTTCAGTTTCGGTACAAAAAAAGATAAAGACTTACAAAACGTTTATTTTGAAAATATGCCAAGTAAACAACACGTTTGTATAAGAATAAATGAAAGCGACCCATTTGGATGATATTTTAAATAAACGGCACTCTTTACAATAAATAAACTATAATAAACAATAATGAAAATCTTAATAAATACAGTAACAGTCAGAACCAGAACAATAAGCAGCAACAGTTTACAATGTAACTAATCAAGTTTTGAGTTTTTGGCCAAAAAGACCAACTTGTCCACATTTTCTGTCAAAAGCACAGATCTAGTTGCAGTGAATATCTCCAGCGTTGGAGGAAACCTCTCACTAACAGCAGTAGCAGGAACAAAGAGGGAGCACTTTGCTAATTTTACAGTGCGGCTGTATTTGGCCTCATCACAACCTCTTGGAGCTGCTCCCACAGGTGGAACAGGTCCCTGGAAAAGTTCACAGTTCAGTCATCACAAACTTCTTAGCTGGAGGTGATCTCTGGTGGATTTCCCTGAAGAGGAAGAAGACTCAGCTGCTGTCTCTGTCCCAGACTGGAAATAAAACACAAAGAGGTAAAAAAAATGAGTTAATAAGATTATAATTTTAAATTTAAAAAAGTTAATTAGATAGTAATAATAAAAGAACAATACCTCTTCTTGAACAGTTGTTAAGAGATGGTTGGATCTCTCGGTCATCATCATCATCATCATCATCATGTAGCAGGACTTTAATCTGGTCCAGGGCTTGTTGACGATCAGTTTGATCTTTTTCATAAATTGCTGCTACAACTTTCTGTCTGAAGTGTTGACGTGATGTCGTAGCGAGGCTCAATAACTTTAAAGCCGGTGCATCAGCAACATTCAGAAATAGTTCCAGAGTTTTAAAAACTCCTACAGCTTGTGTTATTGATCTGGACCGATCTGAATTACCTGATGAAGGTTGTTTAAATGCTGCTGCTATTGCTCTTTGCAACAAGCTGCTACAAGAGACGTTCACGTTCGGATGATGTCGTTTCAAGTTGTTAACAAGTTCGACGTGTTGCTGCTGCAGATCCAGTCTCCGTGAAACAACGTCGACCCACAGCTTTGGATTTGTTCACTTGTCTTTTAACAAGAAAGACATAATGTTCCCAAACAGGAGACCGCAACGACATGCTAGGCTGCTAATGCTACATGTGCTGCAAGAAAATAGCGCCGTGCTGAAACACGCTTAGGAATTTTAGTTCCATGACGCAAAATCTCTCATTAATAAAATTTAACGAGTGAAAAAATAACTGAAACGGTACGCACATGGACTGAAATGAACGTGCCGTACTGAAACGGTTCGGTACACCCACGTGTACGTTACACTCCTAGTAGCTACTAGCTGCCAATGCTAACAGCGATCAATAGAGTGAAGCAAATTACAAAGTCGTTTGAGACTTTATTGTGAAGGATATGCATTTGTAATCAGTGAAAACCAGGGCTTGAACTCCATGATGATCATCACAGCCATTCCCACACTACAACAACAACAAAAAGCCATGAAATCACCGACAAAAGTGGTTATGATGGCTCTACCACTACGTGCACATTACAATGTTTACAATGGTTTTTACCACTTGGTGGTCTCCAGCATCTTCTATATTGTGGTGTGCTGGGGCAGCAGATTGAAGAAAGCTGATGCCAACAGACTTGATAAGCTCATCAAGAGAGCTGGTTCAGTTCTGGGAGTGGACCTGCAGCCTCTGTCAGAGGTGTCTGAGGAGCGGATTCTGCGGAAACTGCTCCAGATCCTGAACAACATGACACACTGGACTCTAACCGTAGCACCTTCAGTCAGACTGAGACCACTGAGGTGCTCCACAGAACACCACAGGAAGTCCTATGGCTATCATACTTTTCAACTCCTCCCCCTTTCTGCACATAGGACAATAAAATTAATTCTGAACTACAATAAACCCTTTAATGTTTCTGTCTGCACCTGAATTGTTTAGAACTTAATTGTTGGTATTATTTTTGCTCCATCTTGAATCACCACTTTATTGTGGTGAAAGAGTTTGTGTGCCTGAATGATCCTAGGAGCTATGCTGTTGGGGGCAATTATAATTGCCCCAGGTAGGGTCTCCCAAGGCAGATTGGTCCTAGGTGACAGGCCAGACAAAGAGCGATTCAAAAGACTTTTATGGACAGGATAAAACAAGGAACTCAGTGTCCCTTGCCCAGACATGGGTTACCGGGGCCCCACCCTGGAGCCAGGCCTGGGGGAGGGGCTCATCGGTGAGTGCCTGGTGGCCTGGTCTCTACCCATGGGGCCCGGTTGGGCTCAGCCCGAAGGAGCAGCATGGGTTTGCCTTCCTGTGGACCCACCACCTGCAGGAGGGGCCATACAAGTTGGGTGCATGATGCCATGGGCAGTGTCTGAAGGCGGGGACTGTGGCGCTCTGACCATGGCTTACCAAAGTTGGCTCTTGAGACAAGGAACGTGACCTCTCTGGTGGGGAAGAAGCCTGAGCTTGTGACTAGATATAATTGGGCTCACCTCGACGCAAAGCATGGGCTCTGGAACCGAGCTCCTTGAGAGGGGTTGGGCCTTATCTTACTTGTAGTCCCCTGACTTGGTGCCTGTGTGTTGGAGTTTTTCCCGGTAGATGAAAGTGTGGCCTACCTTCGCCTTCGGGTGGGGGGATGGGCTCTGACTGATGCTTGTGCCTACGCGCTGAACAACAGTTCAGAGCATCCGGCCTTCTTGGAGTCCTTGGCAGGGGTGC